TCTAATCATTATTCAAAAATCTAAAAATTAAATTTGAGACATTAACCTAATTTATATACAACAATTAAAGAATCTATATCTATGTTCAAAGAATTTAGATTTTAATTCGGTTTTCAAGTTAATCCGACCTAATAAATGTTTCAGTTTCAGAGCCAAAGATCGTAGTTCAATCAAAAGAATTCTTGAGCATCCTATTACTAACATTGCAGTTCCTCAAATAAAAACTTAAAAACAAATAATTTTAAGAATAAATTAAACTTTATTTTCTTTGAGCCGAAAGCCCTCCTTTTTTTTAAGGAAAATCCAACACATCATCTTGTCCTAGCAGCTGCTTTTAGATTGATTTCCCTTGAAATAAATTACTTACTAATAATGATGAACTTCATTTTCGAATCCTCGGTATAATTTGCGCCGTTCCTTTAGGTCTTTTTGGACTTCTGATTTTTTTTTCCTTTTGAAAAGTAGACTCAAACGAAGCGAGAGATTATCAGCTACTCTAATAGTTAATCCCCATTGCATTATCATGTGCTGGCACCACCTATTGAACCATACTATTTAATGATACTGCTTTTGGGGACCACTCCCTTTCGTTATCACCATTACTGCCAGTATTATCAATCAACACAACCACGTACGTCCCCGATCTTAGTGCATTGCTTCGTAACTACCAATAAAAAAGAAAAAATCATTTACAGGAAAATGTTTTCTGAACTTTTTTCCATGAAACAAAGTCATCCTATTTGACACACAACAAATTTGAGAGATGAAAATTCTAAAGCATCTAAATTTTATACTGAACATAGTCAAACTAAATAAAATAATTTTGAAAAACATATAGATCGATGGGAACGGAAATCTAACATAAATCATTCCAAAATCGGGTTTTTTTTTTTTTTTTTTACTTAAAATGATCTCGAAAGGTGATAAAACTCCACCTTGCAAAAAACATTTGACGGCTTTGGGGTTGCTGTTGAATTATAGAACAATGATTAAGTTTTACCTTGATGTCTGACAATCCCCTCATAATTCTATTTCTAAAAATAAAAAATAAAAATTACGTTCTTTAATTTTTAAAGTGTGTTGGTTTATGTGGGACTCATCTGCTAAGAGTTGGTGAACAACATTTACTGTATGGTATCTTTCGGAATTTGGTGAACAATGTTCACTGTATGGTGGCTCGAATCATTATTCAAAAATCTAAAAATTAAATTTGAGACATTAACCTAATTTATATACAACAATTAAAGAATCTATATCTATGTTCAAAGAATCTAGATTTTAATTCGGTTTTCAAGTTAATCTAACCTAATAAATGTTTCAGTTTCGAGCCAAAGATCATAGTTCAATCAAAAGAATTCTTGAGCATCCTATTACTAACATTGCAGTTCCTCAAATAAAAACTTAAAAACAAATAATTTTAAGAATAAATTAAACTTTATTTTCTCGTTAGTTAAAAGTTCAAATCCCACAAAAATCATATATAAAGTAACATTTTGTTTTTTTTTTTCACACCATATAATATTTATAACCAATTTATTAACATTGAATTTATTGTAATTTTTTATACACCTAATAGAATAACATATGATTCGTCTAACGATTGGAATATCTAGCTTATCATTCCAATAATATGTCTATAGGATTATATGACTTAAAATTCCAATTCCATGCTTAAAATTCTAATTCCATGTGACATTCTTGTGGCCTAATCTATATAATTAGTTACCATGTACTATAACATAATTTACATAAATATGAGTATATCATTAAAAATCATCACTACTTAGCGTAAAATCTCTATTTTATATCTAGTTAACGGTTACTCGCTACTTCTTTTAACAATAGTAAATGTGATTTTAAATAATAGGATCATGATATCAAATATCGTTAATCCTTATTGAATAATTAGTATGTTCGTACGTATAAACTATACACCCAAGATCTCTTTGGTATTTATAAGTTACTACCTAATTACTGTCATAATACTAAGATAATCCATATTTATGTAGAAAAGCATGAACTTCTTAAAAACTTTTGATTGACTGTTATATAAATAACACAATATTAACATTATAACATATCTTCAGTACTAATATGTAATTCAACCTCACCTCTACTTAAGGAAGAAAAAAACCAACATTTAAGAAATTTCAAAAAAAAAACCTAAAAATTAAATCAATCTTGTTTCTCCATTATTTTCTCATTTATTAATCACATAAAACCGTAAATAACATAAAATAAGATTCTTAATAATCACTCCTAACCTATATACTATATTATTAGCACTTTATTTTGCCTAAAAATGCTTTAAAAAAACAAATAATATCAAAATCTAAAAAAATATAACCGCGTCAAAGTTCAACAAATTATTAAAATAGATCCTTATTTTTCATATTTTTTTCTTATCGTCTAATATTACTTTTATCACATTTGGAGAAAATTATCCATAAGATTTCTATTATTCACTTATATATATATATATATATATATATATATATATATAATTTATTAAAATAAAAGTTCATAAAATTTGTATTCATGCCTACAGTATTTATTAGTTATATTCACATAACATATAATTAAAAATAAATCGTTTTAATAAGAATATTTATTTTAATGTCATATATTATCATACCAAAAGTTAGTAGGATCCTCAATAAAAATTTTGTTCACGTTATGCATTTTACATATTTATACAATATAACCTTTTATTTATATTTTTGCAAGCAATATGTAGAATTTTCTTAAAACAACATATGGTACGAAAATTATATTTTCAATTTCTTACTATGCGTAAATAAATTGATGTACATTTTTTAGTGATTTATTGTTTACAAGTGATCTTGAATATTCTATAAGAAAACCATAGAAAGTGATCTGTATTAAGCTTAGTCATACTCATGCACTCATGCGTGCAACATGCACATACAGATACTAACTACTAACCATTTTATTTCTACAGTTTTTATTGAATTTTCAATTAAGACTCCATCGATCAAGGGGAACTTAATTTGATGTGTAAAAACTGATCCAAAACTAGAGCATGACTCCACTCTTGAATATTCTATAAGACTACAGCTATATCTTGAGGGCATTCTCTTGCATAAAATATTTTTATTATGATTTTCATGTATTAGTTTTCTGTAAAATATTTTATAGAAAAACTGATGTACTTAAAATATTTTATGATCGACCTTTAAAATAAGTTTATTTTTTGAAAAATATTTTTAACTCTTGAAGTTTCATAAAATGTTTTACGAACAAGTAAACCACTCATAATATCATCCAACTATTTCAATTACCACCATCACCACCATAGACATCACCTGATCACCATTACAACAACTAGCACCTAATCACCACAAATATACTATCAACATATCTTTCACATCATTACTTAATAAATATCCTAAAATTTTTAACATTCCTAACATGTTTACTCAAAACAAACTCCCCCTGTGTAATTGTGTTTAAGTAATAAATATACAATTTTCATTGATGTAATATGATTTAATTCAACAATTGTTTGATTGGGAAAAACTTTAAACTTTTGATTATATAATGAAGCGATAAGAAAGTAGTAAATAGTAATAAAATTATCCGTCTTTCAAGATTTTGTATTTGTTTTATATTTTAACTATAACTAGTAACCAATACGATATAGACTTATTGCAATAAATTTATTAACTACAATTGAAATAAATATAAAAATAATGATTATCTTCACATTTAAAAGTTTGCAAATACTATAAGAAAATTGAAAAATAGCAATGAATTTTTGCGACGGCCTACAATTTGTTACTAAATAGCGAGTAAATAATGATCAAATAGCATCTCGTTTGATTTAATGACGGAATAAAGACTATTTGGTGACGGTTTATCGGCAATGGATGGTAAACTGTTTCGTGATGGTTTATCGGCGATTGATGATATTTCATTGCTATTTATGATGCCAAAATCTATGATGGGTTATTGTTTCATCGCTATTTTTGATAGTTTTCTTTAGCAATGGAATATCCGTCACTATTTTGGTTTTCTTGTAGTGAAAGGAAATCAAAGAAGAAGAAAAAGGATGATATATACACATACATGTGCACGAAAGGTAACAAGTTCATTTCAATTAAATAGCAAAAAATAGCGATGAATTTTAGCAACGGGCTACAATCTAACGGAATACCATCCGTTTGATTTAAGGACGAAATAAAGATTGTTTGGTGATAATTTATCGGTGATGAATAATATTCCGTTACTATTTATGGTGCAAAAATCTATGACGGGTTACTTGTTTCATCACTAGTTTTGACATTTTGCTTTAGCAACGGAATATCCTTCTTTTTTTGTAGTGAAAGGAAATCAAAAAAGAAGAAAAAGAATGATATATACACAAACATGTGCACATAAGGTAACAAGTTCATCTCGATTACTCGAATTTAAACCTCTAAATCCTGTTAGTTTGGTTCAATTCAAATATAAATCCATAGATCAAGAACCTTAATTTGAATCTAGAATCTAAAATTTAATTATAACTTCAGTTCAAATGGAACTTATAATCAGATTTGATTAATTTGCTTTTTGGATTCGGTTCCTATTTTTTTTTTTTTTTAACACCCCTGCTACGAGTTATATATATATCTCAAAAACTAAATTACAATTTCAAATTCTCTAAAATAGAGACTTTTCTTCTTGGTGATATCAAAGTGATATTCAAACTTACTCTTCTACTCTCAATAATTTATAGAACTAACAGAAAACATTTTGTATTCAAATAAACACTAAAAGTAAAAACTAATTTCAACAAAAAATGGTATGCATAAAGAACTGTACTTGGAATACCTATTCGAGAAGTTGAAGTCCCGCCCATTTCATGAGCATACTAATTAGGCTTTCTATGGCTCTTCTCTATGGAATCGTTTTCCATTTTATCATCCTCGGGAATAGGATTTAGGTTGAACTTAAATCATCTAATCCTTTAGCGTTCCATCTGGTGTTTAGTGGTCGCGTTATCCCAGTCTGTCCTCTTTGGCTATATAAACTACAGCCAGCACACAATGATCCAACTGCATCATTTCCAAAAATGTAATTATCAGCTTAATATAATATTCATGCAAAACAAATGCTAAAAAAAGGTAAAACATTATACAGACCATGCCTTCAATTTTATTTTCTTTAGCAGAATAGACAGGATCTACAAGCCTGAATTCATACATAAGCCAATGTGTCTTCCTCTTTTCCTTATCAAAAAATGCAAGAGATGACTTGGTACCGATGGGTCGTCCTTCTGCATTTTCAAGCACAGGAATAGGAGATGCATTCATCTTCCAATGTCCATTCGGGGTATCTCGTTTACCCTTCCTTGATCCATTCATATGGAGTTTGTGAACGGGAGTAAATATATACATTCTCCCATTACTATGTCGATGCACTTTATCTGTTCATTCATCGAAAAAAATAAAACGCCTATAATTAATTCCTTGATCCATTGTTTGTTAATGGGATTAAAACTATGCATTCTTCATTCCTATTTCCGTCTCTTTTTCAAAATAAAACATCAAAATTTTTAAACGGAACACAATATCTGTTCATTCATCAAAATAAAACGTTGATAATAGATTCATAATATCAACGCAAATCAAACAGTTTTATCATCATTCAAAAAAAAAAAAAGATGAATCGTGATGAACTACCTTGTGGTATGTTTTGAGGATCATATTTATAGAGATCAAAATCGCCGAAAAGACCCTTACAGATTGAACCCCCACCATATTTTTTTATACGTAAATAATGATCAAGCAATTCTTTGTCGCTAGGGTTAAATCTCCAACCAACGGGTCCAAACTGGTGCCAATCCATCCAACTGGCTAATCTCAACAAGCAACTAAACGCTTCCCTTATTCCATAGTGATGATTTTGTTCAGCAGCAAATTGTAACGCACTATCTTCATCCCGCTTCCTCTTTGAGGATTTTGAGATTGATTCGACCATAAATCTAGCCTTCAGTTCTAAATTTTGGGCCTCCGTTTTAATTATGTTTATCTTTAAGCTATACCTCTAAGGATACGGAAAGGTTTAGTAAGTAAAACTATTTATAGTAGACAGTAGGGAGACAGTACTGGTTTAGTCGGTCTTCTACTTCAAAAAGGATTCCAAATAAAATCTATTTTGTTAGTTTGAAGCACGTGTTATATATAATTCATGAGTAATGTTATTAGAAAATTTTAATTAGAAGAATTAGTTTTAAGAATATATACGAAGTTATGAACCATTAGATTAGTGAATTGGTTCCCCAATAAAATTATGATCCAATGTCTCACAATATTTTTGAACTTATTGATTTATGATAGCTTAGTCCTTACAGTTTAACAAAAGTAATTAATTACCCTTTGTAGTTTTAGAAACTATATATTTAATCTCTAAGGTTTAACGTTCGATAGAGTAAAACTTAATACCTCTATCAATTGCATCTTTTTTTATATATATATAGAATAGAATTGGTAATTAAGATATAAAAATTGTATTAGCAAAGTTGATATGTTTTTTTTTAAAAAAAACTAATAAATTGATAATAATCGGTGTTGGTCAAGAAATTATGTAATTATTCATATACTATAGGGACTAGTATACTAGTTTTGATAGTCTATAGAGATTAAGTTTGTTTAATAACCTAAATAAGCTCATATTAAAAATTTAAGTTCAGTAAAAATCTATTTAATTAGATAAGTTAAAATTTTTAACTTATTACTTTTTTATTAACACGCTCGGTTGAAAGATTTTTAAAAATTTTCAAATATGACTATATTACCCTTATATATTTTTAAAACTTTAGATTACAAACCAACTTAAAAACAATCTCTACTATCCACATTGCTAAAATAGAGGAAACCTTCTCCATTATCAACGCTATTGTCCCGAATCCGAAACGTCAATTAATATTATCTTAGACTATATTTAATTTCTTATTAATAATCATTTTTATTTATTTATTTATTTATTTGTACACACAAACACATATACTTTTATTTGTGTTAAAAAATATCATGTTACAATTGCAAGGTTAAAATTATCATGTATATAGCCTTAATATATTCAGCAACAGTACTTATCAAATAAATTTATTATATTCAGTACTTAATTTTTACTAAATACCTAACGACTTTTCAGGAACATATTTAATACTTAAAATTCAATACTTAACAAATTCAGCACTTAATTTTCAATTTTACCAAACACTTCCTAGGTTATAATTAACCCGTTAAACAAATAATCGCCCTAATTTTCACGAGAAAGCGTTAATCAAGTATTATACAATCATAACTATATATTAAAACACAAATCCTTGAATTTTTAAATTAACTATTATTCCCTTAATATATAATAATAAAATTACAAAATATCTCAATACTAATATGTAATTTCAAACCCGCCTCAAATTTTTTTTTTGTTTTTAAAAAAGTAACATTATTGAAATTAATGTTTTTCATTACGTACTTTTCTATTCACACTCCATATAAAACCTTAAATCTATAACTACATATATATTAAAACATGAACTCCTAAAAAACTTTTGGTTGACTATTTTACTCTTAATACAACAATAACATTACAATATACTACCAATACTAATACTTAAATTCAACTTTACCTTTAATTAAAAAGAAAGACCAATATAAGAAAATTATTAATTTCTAAAAATAGGTTATCTTTTAGGAAGAATCCTAAAAATATAAAATTTTATCCTGTTTTTTATTTATTTTTATTTATACACCACATAAAACTTTAAATAACATAAAATAAACAACTTAATTTACTTCTACATTGTTTAATATTATACTCGTACTTTATTAACTATCAAATTCTTAAAAAGACTTAAAAACAACCCAATTGAAACATAAAGCATTAAAATTCTAAAATAATTAAATTACATCAAATTTATCAAATTATTAAATTGAATTCTTAGTTAATTTTTATATCTTTTTTTATTGTCCTACGTTATATCTTTTACTCCTTTGAACATACATTGAAGAAGAAGAAGAAAAAAAAAAAAGAGGCAAGCCTATTTTAAAAAAATAATAATAATTTATAAATTTTTCATTTGTGTTGAAATTGTTAATTTATATTCTAGTTAACTATATTTTTTTGTGTCCAAATAATCAATTTTGTCTATTTAAGTTGTCAATTTTAATCTTTATTATTTAAATATGTCAAATTGCAATTTTTTTTCATTTGAGCGGTCCTATCAACTCCTGTTAACTTTATGCTAATGTGGCTGTGTTAATTGCACACATTGTCCTAACATAGGGCCCTACTATCAAACACCTTCCAATAAAAAAAAGAATTTATTACATATTTGGTGCGCAAGCTTGTTTTTTTTTTTTTTCCTCTCTGTATGAGTGTGTAAACTTTAATCTTTATTATTTACTTGTACTAAATTTTAATTGTTTTCTATTTAAATGGTTTTGTTATCTTTGGAATGACATACCTGTTAAATACACACATGGATTCGTCTTGTAGGCCCATTTTCAAGACACATGAAAACTAGAAAAAAAATAAAAAGCAACAACCCATTCTTAATAATTAAATAATAAGAATAATAATTTACATAACAACAATAAAATATTTATAGCTTTACAAAAAAAATATTTTTAAAACAAAAAAAATTATTTAATATTATCAAATAGAAGAAAATGATTAAAAATTAAAACAAAAAATTTTGATTGTGTTCATACGCTAAGGTAACGATCCATTCTCTACAGAAAAATTAAGAATAGTGGATGTTTGGAAGCCGATGATATGAAATTAAATTTAATTTAGATGAAGGTTAGCTTGAACCTGGATTGAATAAAATAGATTAATTAGAGAAATTTTTTGTTTAATTTTATATATTTATTAGATCCATTCTCATCTTTGTAATAATATTTTTTTACAAATATTTGTTAAATAATAAATATTTTTGCAGTAGTATTTTTTTCTTTTTTCGATACAAACATTTGTTAATGGAGCTTACATGACGGTGTTACATGTGTATTTAATGGATACATCTGCCTAGAATTAACAAAACCATTCAAATAGAGAAAATTGCAAGTTGGCATATTCAAATAAAAAATTTGATAAGTTTTTATACCAAATAATAATAATAAAAATTCTAGTTGCATCATGTCCGATTGTGAGCCCCATATATTGGTGTCACGTGTGTATTTAACGACTATGTCAACATAAAGTTAATAAAAGTTAACATAACCACTAAAATATAAAAAAATATATAATTTGACATTCTCAAATAGCAAATATTAAAGTTAACACATTTAAATAAAAAACATTTGACAACTTTATGCACACAAAAGTGTATTTAACTCATTTATATTCACGTCACGTAAAATTGACAACATTGTACACTTATTTTTGTTTGAAGTTGACACTTTCAAATAGAAAAAATTGACAACTTTGTCATTGTCCGACGTTCTAGAGACTCTCGAAATTTTTTTTAAGGATTTTGATTGAAATTTTTGTTTGTTTGGAAATATGAGTTATTTATTAATTTTGGAGTTGCCACATGATATTTAAAAGAGCTAGAAACCTAAAATGGGCACTAGTTTTGATATTCTCGAGTAAAAAGTTGGTTATGTTTTTGGAAAGATATTAATCACCCAAATGTATTTTTTTAGAAAAAATATCACGTCTAATTTAATCCTAAAAGTTATATTTTTTGTCAAAATATTTCGAGTTAATTTTCAAGTTTTATTTCCTAAACCAAATTAATTTTTTCATTTTTATTTTTAGCATCATATTGAATCAATTATTAGATCCCGTTATTGAGACTCTCGTCAATTCAACATCGGATCCAATGTAAATTTCAGCATAACCGATATATCGAAGAACAACCTAATTACTAAAATATAATTGATTTTGAATTAATAACTATCCCTACTGGATATGAGACTATTAAAATTGCTTAAAATGCTTTCTTTTTTTGTTCTTTTCATGTTTTATTTTGAGCTACGAGAGGAAAACGTTATCAAAATTATTTTTTATTTATTTTTTATGGCATCATGTTAAATTAACGTCAAGCTCTAAAATTTGAAAGTCTCATCAATTTAGCATCGGATCCAAATTAAAATCCCGACATGATTGTCATGTCGAGGAATCACCTAATTAACTAAAATGTTTACGCAAAATGTTAAATAAAATCGATTCGAATTGATTTCTTCTTATTATTATTATTATTATTTTGCTTTTTTAATTATTGGATAAAATATATTGGAACCATCGTTCGTCTCTAATAAATAGGAGATTTGTTAGTCCGATATCACAATTGAATAAACTTCATACATTAAAATAAATCTCACAACTTAAATATTTTTAGATTTTTTAACACAAATAAAATTAATATTATTGCAAAATAATAGCATAAAATAAGTTTTTTTTTTAAAAAAAAGATTAGAAACCAAACCAAATAATCACTATACAGTGACCAAAATACCCTTTGGAATGCTATTGGAAATAACCAAAAAGCCCCTGCATCAAGTCATGCACAAAACACTGATAAAGTGTGGTCAAAGCAGAAGGGCAAAACTTAAAAAGGATAGCCCAAACTATAAGGTTCACTTGTAGGCCATATACATATATATATATATATATATATATATATATATATTCCAGTTAACAACTTTTTGATTCAGAAATTATAAGAAATAAGAGTTTATTTGTAGTTGAATAGAAAGACTATTACATTCTGCTTTTCGAATCCTAGTTCGAAAGGGATCCACCTAAAATCTATTTTATTAGTTTTATAGATAGCATATATAATTCATGAGTAATGCTATTTTTTGAGAAATTTTTAAAACAAAATGTTTCAATAGTACACATGTTCCATTAGATTAGTAAAATCACACATTAAAATCATGATCCAATGCCTCACAATCTTCATGAACTTTAATTTATTAAAACTTAGTCGTTGCACTTTAATGTAAGTAGTTAATTAGCCTTTTGTGGTGTTAGAAACTATATTATTTGATACATAAAATTATAGAAAAGCAACCTGCAGGAATAGAGAGGAAGTGATGAATTCCCAACAGCAAGAAGAACGCATGATTGGCTAACCTGTCAGCACTTTGGTTGGCTTCTCTGTACTGGCAACGGTGATCTTTGAAGAAGCTGCCAAATTGAATTCAGAAGCTGGCGATTAGCAGTGTCGTCATGTTTATCACCTTGAATAAGAGTGACAGCAGCTAAAGAATCTGATTCTATCTCTTCTTTCTTGTGGCCTCTAACCCAAGCACATTGAAGACCAACCTGGATCCTCCATAATTCTGCTCTAGTTGCTGAGCATACACCAATAATAAAAGAAAAGCCATCTAACCAGGCTCCCAAACTGCCCAGAAGATTGCCACCAGCAGTTGCTCTTCCTTATTATGATCGCAAAGCCCCATTCGTGTTAACTTTAATCCAGTCATGAGGACACCAGCTGACGCAAACAGCTTAATCCTGGTAGCAACTGGGTTAGCCAACTTGCGTAAATCCATGATGAACTTCGAAATCTCTTGAGCCCGTCAGCCAATATAATTCAGATCATTGGATGGTCGAGAGAACTGCATATCAAATAAATAAATAAATAAAAAGAGAGAGAGAGATAACAAAAACTGCATGTCAAATATAATTCAGATCATTGGATGATCCAGCACACACCAATCCTAACCAGAATGAGTTGGGAGTGATAGATGAAAAAAATTATATCATAAAAATTAAAAAACAAATAGGATGATAAAGAGTGGTCATTTAAAAAGGAATTGTGTTGCATTTGATATTTAAAAAATTCTGTATGCTCCAATGGCAAACCTTAATTTCGCAGGATGAGTCAACGAGGGATCAACAGCTAAAAGCACCTCTTTGGAACACAATATTAAGATCTATGGACTTACATGACTTCAAATACAATATAAATAAAAGGCTACGCAACAAAAAAATAATGTGAATAGAAACCTGGCAGAGCATCAATATCTCATACCAATCAATTTATCCTCCAAATCTTGTATTTGTGGTTGAAAGTTGAAACCTTTCTTGAATTACAACATGGTAACCCCAGGAAGGGAAATCAATTTACATTCTTTCTTGCAATGCTGTCCGCCGTGAGTAAAGGGAATGCTAAGAAAAGTTTACGGAGGACAAAATAATGCGAAAGCTTGAATGGTACAGTAAAGATAATGAGAAATGCGTAGTTTTGCTTTCGGTTTCCCTTCATCAAAAAGAAATATACAACAGGAGTGCTCCAGCTAGAACAGATTGCTGGTGTGAAATGTGAATCAAATAGTTATGCTGGCTACGCATGCAGTTGATGTTCTCTTTCGTTTTGCACCCCAGCCAATGTTCAACTTAGCAATCTTTTTTTGGTTCCAAGATATCCCTGACAGTTCGGAGCCCCACAATAGCACTTCACCTCTGGTCCAAATTGCACAAATCTACAAAAGCCAAAATATAAGTCTGTATTGAAACTTACCTTGAGATACAACTAACTGTATTTGGAAAAAGAAGGCCTGAACCAGAACATAATTTCAATTTACATGTTATTCTGGCTCCCAAAAGTAGGCACTAATGCTCCAGGTGGCAGGAAAAGAGAAGAAATGGCACCAGATTGCTTTGCCCATACCATTTCAAAAGGCCAATACAGCAACTTGCAGCACAAGAACCGAGCTCAGAGTGCACAATTGCATGTGCAACGCATGCAACAGGTAATGGGCATGTCAGAGACATTTTAGCCACTTTAGGTTATAGCTAATTATGCAACCTTACAGCTATTGTCAACTTTGATAGTCCAGTTCCCTGTCCGCTAACTGCACCTACATACTATAAGTTATCTTACCAATCTAGATAGCATTAATATGGACCTTGATATTACTAGATTGCTCACATGTAAACGATGACTCACTCACTATAAGTTGATTACAAATGATGATTATTATTTTGTCAGTCGAACAAAAGCAAATGAGGCGAAAAGTAAAAAAGACAGAGGTGCCAAGTTTGCTATTATACTAGAGTTCTACCACGGTTAATTATCACAACAAACCTAATAACTTTTAAAATGTCTGACAAGATTAGCTTAATTGATATAAGAATGACAGTTTAAACCACTAAAACAAAAATGGGATTTCATTATTTCCAAAGGAGATGTTAGCACAACATCACAGGTTCCAACACTGAGTCATGTGACAGGAATGACTATACAATTTAAATATGTACCTGTAATCATATGTTAATGGTTCTCCAACTCTTATTGAATGAGCAGCAAACACTCCCACCCGGGTCTCTCCCTCAACTTCCCTATATAAACCCATATACAATGGTTAAAAGTTAAGACCATGTCCAAAATGAAGAATCTCTGCTTTCTTCAACAGAAATATGTTCAAATTTATTACTCCTCCCTAACTGCATAAGATAGATATATTATTGTCAAAATGTACTAAATTAATGAAAATCCAAATCATAATTCAATGCCTTCAAAAATTCTTTCCTAGAAAACTCCAATGAGGTATAATTTTTGTGTCTCAAGACATGTTTTCCTCGTGCACAATAGTTTAAATATAGACTATTGCTAATGGGCATTCCTTTATTAAACTAGACACATGCAAGAACTAGTATTTTGCAACAAGCATAATACAGAAGAAACGTCCATTAGCTAGTAGGTCACAAGAACTAGTATTTTGCAACAAGCATAATACAGAAGAAACGTCCATTAGCTAGTAGGTCATCCTTGTTATGGTTTGTTTCTAAGAAACCTGAACTTTTAAGAGAATGTTATATTGTTCATATTAATTGAAAAAACAGTGACATTAACCAAACTTCATCTGGACAGAATAAACCAGATCTAGAACATGTGTTGCACTTTTGGCTTTCATATACAGATACATATGCATATATAGGAAGAGAAGTTAGCAGGATCATAACAGAAAGGCAGCATATTAATAGTACTAACCACTTTTCTAGGATACAGTTGGGTTTGCAACTATGATTTAGAAAACGAGATGAATTTCCCTTAAAAGTTGCATCAATTGTGAAGTCCTTCCGAATTTCGCACATGTAGAAGTTCTGCACACCTTTGTATTTCATGTCCCAAAGCCTTTGTTCACACAATTTATCATCAATTACTGAAACAGGAAGAAAAATAGTTTAACTCATTCTATTTCTTGGGAAATCCACACAAGTGTGCACACACATGCACACATACACAACTTATTACAATAGACTGAGAAAAGAATTCAACCAATACATGATCTTTAACATGACACAATAGACTGCAGCTTTAAAAAGGTATAACTATTAGGTTCTGAAAATGAATTGCATGCTTCATAAAGAGAGTTGCTCTCCTTAAATTTGGAATACCATGACTTTACGACCATAGTTTTAGACAAGTACAAGGCAAAATATTGGATCACTAACATCCATTGGCAGCAAAGCAGGAGGGGGAAAACTGAGTAAAGTGGAGCTTTTCTTTCTTTCTTTAATTATTTTTTTCCCCTCCAGTAGAAACCAGGGCCAAAGGCCCAGCAAACAGCAAAAAACTAATCTACACAATTGCATGGCAGATTGCCTCTAATGGAATCCAAAGATACAAATGCAGAGCTCTGAACACTGATATTTACCTTTAAGATAACAATTTGCACATAGAAGAAGTTGTAATCCTTACTATTTGACATTAATCGAACTTTGCATACAGAAATCATTATTAGACAATAATCGCCATGAAGTTAGTTACATATGTAAACCTCCAGTTTCATAACATCGAAACTAGATGTGACACATTTAACCTTTAAATGTTCTCACAACCTACACCAAAAATTCAAGAAAACAGTACTGTATTTCAATATTTGTTTATTTCAAGTCAAGACTTGCTGCCCTAACCATCATGCCTCAAAACAGGGGAAGGAAACAAGAACTACAGCATGGCAGCAAGCAGCAATTCTTTTCATTTGCATGTTTCCTAAATATAAGTAGGCAATAAACAAATTGCAGACTAACCAACTATCATAGATAACACAAAAAATCAAAAGCACGATATGGATTAACTGCCAGAACAGCAGAAGGACCTAGTTTTAAGAATGTGAGACTTATGATAATAACAGCCAACTTGACTATAAAAAGAAAAGTAAGAATTAATGCATGCTTGAATATATTTATTTTAAAAAAGTGCAGAAAATTAAAACTACCTTCTCCAATATACTCAATTATAAAATCGCCTTTACATATTGGTTCAGCTGCCTCCACTCCCCAACCACAAAACTCAGTCTAAGAAGAAAATAAACCATAAAAGCCATGTGAATAATTTTGAAAATCAAGATCCATGTATTAATTTCCATGGATATACATTAGACTAAAAGAGGTAACAAAGCAAAACCAAGTAATCTCTTTGCGCAATACTAATCAGGTAAAAGTACCCAATAGCTCCATGAGTTAAAGTTCACACCTTGACAATTTTTGTCTTTTTATCCTTGCGAAATGGCCTGTTGGTGCATGTTTCAGGGCAGCGGCACGCCCTGGAGCAGCTTATACATTGAACCCTGGAACATGATACATTCAGGTTACAATCCTACTACATAAATTTTTAAGATAAAAAGTCTTTCAAAAACAGAAGGAAGAGAATATACAATGATAGTTTGGACAATAAGCCAACCTCCATACAATGAACAGAGCAAACAAATACTAATACAATAGAGCAAAACTCGTACAAAATCAGCAAAGAAACACTTCTTTTTATGTTAATGAAACACCTCTAAAAGTACCTGAAGCATGACACCATAATGGAGCAACAAACACAATTCTATCCCACAACAATTTTACTACATAATTAGCCAACACTATAAAGTTGAAGTAATCAAACTCAGTGACACATGTTATGTCAACTTTCTGATCCAGAAACAACACGAAGTCCAGTTTATTGGACAATTTTGAAAAGACGCATTACAGGCATGACAAATTCAAAAGAAGTGAAAAACTAAGGACACAGAGAATAAGGTGCAAAAGTATTATCCAGAGAATGCCACAAGCAACTAGAGCTGGATTTATTTACAGGAAGCTCAACCATTATATAAAGGGAATATGTGTCTATTGCTGAAATACAAATCAAGTCTCTGTAGCTTGCATTTACAAATAAAAATCCAGCCAACAGTTTAACAAAATGTCTAACATATTTTCATACCAGGGGAAAGATTTGCAATAGAAACCACAGTATACGAGCTTTATCAATATGACTTGTATACATCAATTTCTTGATCCAACCAACACTTGAACGCCAGGGTGGGGGAGGATGGGGATTGTTTGTATGCAAAAAATAAAATAAAATGAAAGAACAATAAAGGTGTACCTGCACATGCAATTCTCACAGCATGTAGAAGTGCAATTTGTGCATCCAACATCACCATCAGAATCATCACGCTTCTTCTTTACTAGGTAAACATCTATTTCAATCAAGGTCAATCCCACACTAAAACAAATACATAACTGTAATGACCATAATGAACTTGCGAGTGTCCATACATACAGACAAAATGGCAAAAAATCACTATTATTGATCATTGAATAGAACATACTGGCAATGATAACATATCCAAAAGCATGTGATTTAATTGCTAAACTACTCACAACATGAGATTAGTCCAATGTAACAGTATAATATAGGATACTGCGCCTGATATGCACATATGGAGCCGGTTCTAGTTTATTCTCTGTCAGGTCTTTCCATGTTGAATCAATCTTGAACTCCTCATCAATGTAAGGTAGAGGCAAACGACAAAATATTTCCTAAAAAAACAAAATGGAACAAAAATTAGGTTGTGAAATATACCAACAGAAAATTAAGTTTCACATCCAATAAACTTCCAATACAGAGCATCTTCTCCCTTAATCAATTTATCTACGCATGACTATGTTTTTTTGGTCTTAAAGAATATAAGAAAAGATGTTCTTACAACAAAGTAAATGATGAGTTCGCCTCATTTGCAATTACCATTTCACATTCAAAAATATGCTAAGAATAATGCCATGGTTATTCTAATGATCCCACATGAATATTTTTTAGTAGTTTTAATCAACAAATTGAACTGATACTTTTTTTTTGGGAGGTTAACAATGTTGCCCTTCACCAATCGCTTCCATCAATTTTACTATCAAAAGTTTTCAACACTACCCTTCCATACTCTTTCCATCCAAATTCATAAACAAAATCCGTTAAACATCCATATAGAGCCTCCAGAACTTAAAAGATTAATCAAATTTATTGTTGTAAATAAAAAATAAAAATTCAATTTAAACTAAAATTTTAGAAAAATTGAATTGCATGTAGACTCAAAATTTTAAAAATAAAACAATTTAAAGTTAGAAATTAAGAAAAACAAAATGAAAAGAAAAGAAAAGATTCATGCCATTACTAGTGATTACCATAAAAAACTTGACGTGCACTACACTACTGGACTTCCGTGCATATATGGACAAGCTCAAATAAGCTCTCCACAGATGAATATACTAGTCAATTTCAGTAGTATCTAAATATTTGTCTAGTGTAGAAATGAAGGGCTTATTTTGTGAACTACCCTATGTATCCATCAAGGAAAGATACTAGTAGTTATCAGTTATCCTAAACAAACTGGTCCTGCTTATCCCTACACCTATGAACCCATCTTGCTTCCTTTCATTTTCTTTTCTGTTTTTCCTATTGAAATACATCAACTATCAATGTACGGTCACAGATTATTCACCAAAAATCTGACCTCAATATCAGTTGCTGGAACCACATGCTGCTCATTCAACAAATATCAGACCTGTCAGCAAGCTTAATCAATAAAAAAAGGAATGAAGAAATAAAATCTGAACAAAAGAAAAGAGAACTCAATAAGATGAAAGTAACTGATCAAGTCATTCTCAAGGTATTTGGCTATAATGCCTGACCACAAAAGCAATCAATATATTATAGGCATCACCATTAATCAATGTTGCATCATTGCCATTTCAATTTAAAAGATTGATTCGCTAATCAAAAAGGACTGCTAACAAGCAAAATAAAGAGACAAGAAATCTCATAGATCAGACTATGGTACTGAGTGCAATCACAAATTGGATAAGAACTGAAGATAAATGAATTTACAAAACAAGCAGTGTGGCAGAATTATGGAGATTCACAAGCTCAAATATATGTGGAAAATAATACACATTGTTGTCATAAATGATCTTTTAGATGTGGAAGACAAGGACTTGAAAATTACAAAAACTGAGGTATGTGAATACATTTGAACCTAAATAGCATAAATGTGACCAATATACAAACTGCATTCAAATGAATACAGGGGATGATGCAGGTTTAGGCTGTAAATTGACGCTCATAGGACAAATCAGCATTGACCTGAACCAGCTGACTAATATAATCAGTATATTGCTGGTATTTAGCAATTACTACGGTCCACTTTGACAAGTCAAAGTCAAGAGATTAGGTAGGCATTTGGGGTGAGGAATATGGAATTACCAAGAACATGAGATTGCTGGAAAAGTGATGCCGAGAGAAGCCAGGTTCTGAAGTTAAAGGAGATAATCACTTAACCCACAATTGATTTGAATAAGGCTTTTGGAGGGGAAATCCAACAATTATTACAAACCAAACAATGGGATCCTCAAAAACTCAGATTCCAACCCCCAGGAATTTTGCATTCTCCTATACCAAATGCTAGAAAGATGAGTGGCATTAACATCTCAAGCAACAGAATTGAAATATAAACATAATATCTAAATGGCTGAGCTAATTCCCAGTCCTATTATCATGAAATTCGCCAAAAGCCAGAAAACATGATTTGTGCAGTCACTTGTAACTAGATTTAGACTCCAGAACTACACATTTTACATTTTATAGCTGTGTTTTGAATCTTGAGAACCAAACAACAAACCTTATAAAGCATGATAAAGAATTTTAACATATTCTGAATTGCCAACCAAATAGAAAGATGATATGCAAAAGTTGCACATCACATCTTGTCAATTACCAAAATTTTAGTTTGAGCAGTAGAATAGGCAGTGGAACCAATATGGGGTCCTACAAAACTGATTAGACATGTATATCAGCAACCATAGTTGCATTAAGCAATCATACTGAGAATACATTATAATTTGTCAAGACTTTTTCTAATTTTTTTGACAAGGCAATAACTGTATTAGAAAACTTTATGTACCAAAATTCTAATAAGGACAATAAGGCATTGCTAATGAAGGAAAGAAGAGATTGACCTTCTTATCTAGGCGCCAATTAGTTGGATGCCGCCAGCAAACTGCTCGCCCTGGTCTGTTTTTCAAATGAACTACTTCATCTGACCATGGTGCGCACTTATTATGAGACGCTATTGAGCATCGCACACAGCGCCAATGAAATTTCCCTTTGCAAGTGAAACATTCCTGTTTGTAGCATCATGTCACAAATGTGCAATTAAACCACGAATGCTCACTGCTAATAATCAGCAATATTTTGTGTTGAGAAGATTCATGATGCTCAAATATTAAAAAACCAACTTTATAGCACAGTTGACAGGACATGCAACAGTCACAAGTGACCTTTCATCCTCGGAATTCCTAATCATTTATTTCACCTTTTTTCCTCCTCTGAATTACAAAAGTACAACGTTCTTAAATAGACAGGAAAAAGCATAAAAAAATTTAAAAGACCTTCAGCATCAAAGAATGGTATCATGATTAATTAGGTCTTACATGCTGAGGGCACTTAAATTTTCTCAGATTTGAGACTCCAAGCCTTTCCATGACACATGTTAAGTGATAAACTCTCTCACAATTACGAACAGAGCATGCCATTCCCTCCCCAGAGTAGATAAATCTATGGCAAAAAAGACAAGCCTCCTGGAATGGATACAAAAGGCATCAATGTCAGCCACAGGAAATCATAATTGCACATAATGAGTTTCAAGATTACAAATCTGAATTTCATTAGAAATATGCAATAAAGGGATGGAATAAGCATACAGTGATTTCTCAATTCAAAAATTGGAAGGCTCATAAATAGTACATTCAGTATACTATTTAAAATTTCAATTTCTTTGCATGAACAATGTTTACACTCTATTCCTTAATAATAATATAAGAAATATTTGGAAATCTTAAAGCAAGCCCTGATTCAAGCAAGAAAATGTTAATTCCAGACATGCATACTCTGATTCCTCAATTCAAAACTTGGAATGCATATACATAGTGCATTCAGTATACTACTCAAAATTTCAAATCCTTTGCATGACCAACTTTCACATTCTACTCCTTAGCAAGAAAATGAGCAATATCTGGAAATCTTTGAAGTCAGTCATGAATCAAGTGAGAAACTGTTCGCTCTAGAATGAACTTCTTCCATAGGCTTCTGAGTCTGGTTTTTAATGAGTATATTCAAGGAATACAAATTCCAACCACCAAATCTCTACATAGATCCCCACGAACCTAAACAATTAGTAAAAGGACATGTTTAGCGTTAAGGAGCAAATGCACCAGGCTCCCTCACATCCATATTGACCTTATTTCCATCCGTCACACCGAAAGCAAAAACCCAATATTCAAGCTTGGATGCCTGGCACAACAGAACTCACCTCAAGCAAAGGAGTGAAGAGTCTATGAGCCAGTCAAGAAGGAGGTCAAGATGATTGAACAACCCAAAATCCAATTAGCTTTTAATAAATTGATTATCTGTTATCCACTTAGTATTTATCCATCTTCCCCAGAATGAAAGCAAGCTATAATTCACCCAAAGAGCACCAGATCATGTTCACCATAAGGACCCGTCCCAGCACTTTTATCAAGTCTCTGTCTACAATCAATTCAAAATCTTCTTTCTTGGAATTTAAATTAAGCAACTTTAACTCTACCTGTCTCTGAATGGATCAGTTAGTAAAACCAATCTTTAGAGGCTGCTAAAAGGAACACAACCATCAGATCCTACACACCTAGCTTTACAAAGACCACCCATATCTCTCTTTTAACCATAATCTGTACTAAAGCCATCATAAATATAATTTATCAATCAAAAAGTTCCATATAATCCATTTTCAAAGAGTCAATATTTGGAACACTTAGATGCCAAATCATTGAGTAGCACAAATATACACATCACCATCTCCCACTTCAAACCTATAAAATACCCAAAGCAGAATACAACCCAATAAGATTCAACAAATTAAGTAAGAAAGGCAACAACGTTGGTCATAATTTATCAAAAACAAAACTAAAATTCAAACATAAAACTAACCTCCAAAATCCATGTAAACCCTCAATTTACTACAGCAGGTAACCAAAAAGTGAAATTCTAGCACTAAAGTTTTGCCTTTAAAAAGCCTAAAAAGATAGAAGCTAAGAAGCACCATTTTCATAAAATAAAAATCAAAAAGTAAATAACACATTTTTGCCTCGATTAACTACATTTAACCAAAAATTCAAAATTTCCAACCCAAATTCCTCTTTTAAAGAAAAAAATTCTCAAAAAAAAATATATATATATACCATTTTCTTTGCACCAGCAAGAAAAGGAAGAAAGCAACGAGATTGTGCGACACCCAAATCCATCTTCTTCTGAACCCAAACCCTAACGTAATCATCCAAGCATCTACCATTATTGTTATTATTAATAAGCCCTTTCTTACAACCCAATCGGCCACCGCGGATCCGCTTAAAAACCCTAATTGAACTTCCATTGCACAAATCTTCCGCTCCCACTTGAACACTCTCGTCCCAATCGACTAGGCTTTTGGCTGAAACAGAAGTTGTCATCGTCGTTGCAGTAATTGAATCTGATTGGTCAGTGGCATCAGGAGGAGGAAGAGGAGAGTTGGGTTTAAAAGTAGGGCAGCGCGTGAGAGTAAGAGAAGAGGAGAGAGAGACATTTCCTCCTAGGTCTGGCATTCTAGCTTCTCTCTCTAGTAACTCGAAATTGGAGAGAAATTTATTTATAATAAACCCTAGCAGCAATTTGGTTGGGGGTGGGTGTTGTTAGCGTAGGAGTATTTGGGCGGGAAAAGGTGACGTTTGTAGTTTTGAGGTTTTGGGTTTTGGGGGTTCTGAAATGGCTAAATGGGGGTTGATGTTGTTAGGATTTTACGAGATTATCCAACAGAAAAGAGTCGGTGCAGTTGTGATAATGTGCCACGTGGATGGGGTGGTAAATTTAGGGACAGGTGGTGTAGCTGGTGGACGAGCGTATGCGTGCTGTAAAATGTAGAAAGTACCGGGAGTGTGTCTTCCTAAATTAATGCGGCATTTGGCATTGGCTTTGGATTTCTTTTTTATTATTATTTCTAAATTCTAAACCTTGTTATCATTTCTATGTATAGTATATGAAAATTTGAACATATATTAGCTACTTTCTTTATTACAACAAAAGTGTGATTATTCATGGAAAATTGAAGAAATTGCCTCGCACACAGCGACGAACACAGGATCAACTGTCCACGAGGTCAAAATAAAAAATGCATTAATGGTATATGATTTTTTCAGCCACAATAAAAATAACTTATAAATATGAATATGTAACAATTTTTAAAATGCAATATGTAAAAAATTACAAATTCACTTAAAATGTAAATAAAAAATTCAAATTTTCAAACAAAATACATAAATAGATAACCACCCGTGTCTATTATTAACCACCCTCTAAGCTCACTGATATACGCATCTAAAAATATATAGGATTATAGTGACATCGACAGCTCTACTAATAAGTTTAATATATTTCAAAATAGTCACTTTAGTAATATAGAACCTATAGAATATAAACAAGAAAAATCGTTATTATTAAAAACAAACAATTGAGAATTTAGTATATTAATCTAAATATGATTGTTATTAAAATAACTAAAGATATTTTTTTAATAACCATTCATGAAATAAGAATAGTTATTTATAAATTGCAATCTCGCATTGCTATTATTACAACTCCTTTTGTTCTTTTTTTTCTTTGGGTCAATAGCTACAAGCACAATAATGGCATAAATTTTCAAGATCAATAGTACAATTTTAATTCAAATAGATAGATTATCAAAATTTTACTAAGATATGGATCCAATAAATATCTTAATCACATAAAATAAAATTAGACAATGAATCGAATCTAATATTTTAATTATAAAATATTATTTAAAAAAGAAAATTGAGAGTTGCCAAGATTCAATCAATATATCAAATAAATCACTTAATAAATTAGTAACGTAAACAATATGATAAGAGTTAATAAATTATTAATTTTTGAAGAAAATACCTATTGTATTGTCGAACAAGAGAAATCCAAATCGAAGAGAAGGATTTTTTTTTTTTAATAAAGTGAGAGCTAAGGAAAAGGGAACAAGGAATGAGTTTAGCGAGTGGTGGGAGATAGTTGGGATCAAATTAAACAAATATCAAGAGTTTAATAGTGCCGGTGGGTAAATCAAGGGCAAAGGTTAAAAAATATTAAAAGAAGGTTGGGTTCATCCTATATTATTATGGGAAAAAAAATTAAAAGGGGGCCTAGGTCGGGTTTATTCTATAGCTTGTATGAGCTTGAAGCTGGAAATATTTATCTCTTCCTTGAAAATGGATTCATTGATGCTTATACTTCTTCTAGTGTTTGCCCTTTAGTCTTTGACACTAGCTTTGCCACAAACGGGACGATTAGGCCATATATGCATGAGAATATGAAGAATGTTCCCGAGGCCAATCAATGTTATATGGTGGCTTAGATATTTTATCTACACGGTCTTGTCCTATAAGGGAAAAAAAATTTTGAGGGGGTCGAGGCCCTCGTAGTCGTAAACGTGGGTTTGCCACTACTCGTACAATTACAATTTACGAGTCATGAGCCTCTTTTTGCCATCTCATGAGCAATTAAGTACCTATTTAATTGATTGCAAATTATATCAAATAGACCTTCATATTCATATATATTAAGTACTTATTTTTTTAATTTTGATTTTCTTATTAAAAGCTCGTGAGAATTTGTTAATTCATGTTAAATAGCAAAATAACGCGATAATAACGAAAATTCAAATCCAATTTGGATTATGTATCCTCGCTTTTCCTCTCTCACTCTTTCTCATCTTTCTCTTGTTCTCTCACTAAACAAACACTCAAGAATTACTAAATTCACTTGGTAAACAATAATTTGCTATAAACAAATAGTTTAGGCTACCATCACTACAAGAAAATCAAAAAATAGCGACAAAAATCAATGATGGATCACAACATTTCTCTAACTAACAACGGATCGATGAATGAATTACTACCGTTATCGAGTCATGGATCTCGACTATAAAACACCAATGGATTAGTGATAGATTTTCAACGAGTGAGCTATATTCGTCATTATATTTGATAGTAAAATATTCACATGTATATTAGATACGACTTAGCCGGGGAATTATGAGGGAAATTAGTGTTGCTACTTTCTTGATTCGAGTTAGTAACTGAAAAATCCATCATTAATTGAACATTTTCCTCACAAATTAGCGATGGGATGTCCATTATTAATATTAAAAAACTAAGCGAACTTTGCTTATTCAAATTCTACCGGATCAAAGACGGATTAACGAGAGACACTTATGTCATTCGCCGATTAACGATGGATTAGCGATTGAATCCTATCCATCGCTAATTCTAAATCCCTAAATCATAGTTTCCCTTTCTATTCTTCTCACTTTTTTTCTTCTCGTCCATTTCCTCTTCCAGTCATCGCTGCCACTATTGCCAATCCCACCCGAAACCGTCATAAAAATTCAACTCCTCCACTCCCCAGTAACCCCCACCACTTCAAACTTTTTGCTTTTTAAAAAGCCTCGAATTTCCTCCTTCCTCTTCATCTCTTCCTAATTTTCTCGAAGGCATACTCTCTCTCTCTCTCTCTCTCTCGTTTCCTAAAAAAATGTTATTTTTCATAATTTTATGTTAATTTTGATTAATTGGTTAAATTTTAATTTTGTTTATATTTAATTGTTAATTGGTTAGGTTAATTTGTTAATTAATTGGTATTTAAATTAATTAGGTTAATTAATTTATTGATTAGGGTTAAATTAATTAGGTTTAAATTAGGGTTAATTTACTTAGGTTAATTTGAATTAGAGTTAAATTAATTAGGGTAATTTGAATCGGAGTTAAATTTGTTAGGTTAATTTATTAATTAATTGGTAATTGAATTAATTGGGTTAATTTTTTAATTAATATTAAATTAATTACGTTAATTTTTGTCTTTCAATTAGGGTTAATTTACTTAGGTTAATTTGAGTTATAATTAAATTAATTAGGCTAATTTGAATTAGAGTTAAATTAATTAGGCTATTTTGTTAATTAATTGGGCTACTTTGTTAATTAGGGTTAAATTAATTAGGTTAATTAGGTTTCACTAGAACTTACTTAGGTTAATTTGAATTAGAATTAAATTATATAGGTTAATTTGAATTTAGAGTTAAATTGGTTAGGCTAATTTGTTAATTAATTGATATTTAAATTAATTGGGCTAATTTTTTAATTAGGATTAAATTAATTGGGTTTCAATTAGGGTGAATTTACTTAGGTTAATTTGAATTAGATTTAAATTAATTAGGTTAATTTTTTAATTAATTGTTATTTAAATTTAATTAAGTTTGAATTAGAGTTAAGTTACATAGGTTAATTTGAATTAGAGTTAAATTAATTAGGTTAATTTTTATTAATATGTTGATTTTTAATTTTATTTATATTGAAAATTTTTAATTATTTGCTATTTTAAATTTAATTAAGTTTGAATTAGATTAAATTAAGGTTATTTGATTTAGATTTAAATTTAATTAGGTTTGAATTATATTTAATTAAGTTAATTTGATTTAGATTTAAACTAATTAGGTTAATTTTGATTAATTTATTTATTTCTAATTTTATTTATATTACAATTTGTTAATTATTTGTTATTCAATATTTAATTAGGTTTGAATTAGGGTTAATTTAATTATTTTATTGATGATCGTTGAAGTGTGCCGAGATACACCGTAGCGTATCAAATCCGAGGGATCAAAGACTCTTGAGAATTGAGGAAAAATAAAGTTGATTTAATGTTTTACGATGAAGATCGAAAGGACGAGTTTGCGATCTAATTTCAAGGGAGTATCTAAGGTAAGTATCAATCTTGGTGTACGCAAATTGATTGTTGGATGATTTAATTTTAATATTTGTGTGATCATTTGGATTATTTGTTGATTGAAAGTGTGCAATTTACTAAAGAGACTCTTTCGACCTTTTATTTGTTTTCTATGAAAACAATTTATAATATACTTTCGGTTGAATTGTTATTCATTTGTTGATTTGTTAAACTATTTCAAATGTTATTCTAGAGTTATTCCTCATGGATTAGACGGATCCGATCGTAGTATTAATGGTCATGGATCTAATAGCGATAGTGTTCGTGGTCATGGCACTAGTACTAATAGTGTCCATGACCATTGATAGCGATGTCTGTATAAGAAAGTGGCCTACTAGTGCAAACATTTGGGATTATGGACTTAATAGAGGCACCCGACACATTTGATCCTTACTAGTAATGCCCCCATCGATAGTGCCTTCAGCTACGAGAGGTCCCCATGATGGTTTTCTCGGCTCCAAAAGCTCTACTCGGATCCGATATAGGACGGACCATTCGGGTCCTAAATAACTAGTAAGTAATATGTTTTACATTTGGTAATTAGTTTTATCTTTTCATATATTATATTAAAATAATTAATTCACTTATTTTATTATTCATTTGTTTTGTTCGACGACTTGATTCAATCAAGTAAGTGCTCTATAAAAATCATCATAATTTTCAAAGAGTGATTAGATGTTGTTGGCTCTACATAGAAGTCTCGTCTCCATAGAGATGAAAGACTTCTACTTTAATGAATTTATGATAACATATTAACGATTTA